GACTAACTGTAGTCTGTGCCCTCAGAGCCGCGCAATAGTGACACTAATTATTGCAAAGTGCTATTTTTGGGGGTGGATTTGCAAGATGTTCCCTTTTCTCAACTGGTATGTTTCTGGATGAGTAAATTTTCAATTCAAATGGAGGCAACGCGCGGAACGAAAATTTTTTCAACAGCCAATTTCAAGAACGGATAATGACTTTTCACAGCGACTTTATGAAATGTAGTTCTTCTCTTCTTTCGCCAAAGCACAACGCTCTCCTAACTCGAATCAAACTTTTTGGGGATGTTAGTTGTCCCAAAAAGTCGTTGCGACAAGTGCCTGTTACAAACTGCCTGGTGTGAAATGCCGTTATTGAATAAGTCTCTTGATCTCATTTTCTCGGTACTATCATTGCATCATATCTAACCAGTTTCAAATTTTACGACTTGATCCAGTAACAAAAATCTATCTCACGGACAGAGTTTCGCAAACATTTCTGTGAGCTAAAGGAATTGAATGTCACCGCGACTTAGCGTCAAGACGAATGACGCTGCCTCCCGTCATTATAATTTCCCTTGGTGAAAAACTAAGTTGCTGTTTAAATTCAGGATATAAAGATTTGTTAGGAATTTTAATGCTTAGAAAACTGCTGAATTCGTCTGCGTTCTGGCGCCGGTTTGCCTGTTCAGTCACGTCTATTTTAAACTTAATTTACTTAAAATTTAAGCCACATAGCAGAGGTGATTTTTGAAGTAGTCGGGCGTGTTTGGCGGATAAGAACTCAAGTAATGCTCAGAGCTGCTTCAGTGTGGGTTAATTCTTCTTTCTTTTGAACTTTTGTTAAGCGAGGCAACGTAATTCTGTAATCCAGTTAAACCACCCACATTACTCGGTTCTACACGGAATAAAAGTGATTAAGGTAGCCAATCAGATAGCAGCCTTTGCTAAAACGCACTTTAAGATTCACACTAATAATTATTAATTTTTTTTCTTGTGTTTTAAATTAGTCCCCACAGCTCCTCCTGCAAACGTGACAGCCTACAACACAAGCTCTGTGGGCATCATTGTATTCTGGGAGCAGATTCCAAGATACCACCGGAATGGTTATATTCTTGGTTACAAAGTTTGTTACAAACGTGCCGATACAAACAACAGCGTTTTATACTGTACAGCTGTATTTGCTTTAGGACTAGAGCTGGGTGGCCTGCAGCCATACACTCCCTATTGGATCACAGTGCTGGGGTATAACAATCAGGGAGAAGGACCCACCAGTCAACCACAGCAAGTTTGGACTGATGAGTTTGGTAAGTTACAATGAATTTTGTGGCCTGCAGCGCATATGCTTTTTTGGCGAACGAGTGTTCAATATTCCGATCGAGTGCTGAAGCCACCGTATTGGATTCCAGAGATTAAGGGAAACCTGGAACAAAGAAACAATTCCCCTCCCAAGAAGGATGAGCGCAGGCTCATCTGACGAGCATCATCTGGTTATCAAATCTTACAATGTCCTGAAAAACATAAAGAGAACATCCCCAGGTATCTATCCCTTCTACCCTCCCCTCCCCCTCCCCCTAAGCACTTGCCGTTTACCCTTCGTCTCGAAGTTTCAAAGGGAGGTTATTTTTCCAGCAATGTATCGGCTTCGCATAACCTCGTCTCTCTTTCAGTTCCTTCAGTCGCACCTAAAATAACATCCTTGACGACCAACTCAACTGCAATCAGGGTAGCCTGGGAACCAATACCTGAGGAACACGTCAATGGAGTGCTCAGAGGCTATTACGTCATTTACTGGAGGATGCCTCGTGTGTCCCAAGACAACCACGTGATTCAAGTAAACCAAACAACGCTAAACGTGGTCATAGTGGGGCTTAAAAGGAACACTTCCTATGGGGTGCAATTGACGGGGCTGACTCGCGTCAGGGGCTATATTAGGAATGGTGTCCTCAGTCGAACGAAGAAAGTCACCACCAAATATGGTAAGGAACGTTTTGTTATTTCAAAGCACTAATCTTATCTGTAAGTTGAATTTCTGATAGCGAAAATGTTTACAGAGACAGAGTTTTGGACGCCTCTGCAAGACACAGTTACTACAAATATAATGATGTACATGTCTTAACATCGATGTAATTGTTGAAAATAACTCACTTATCCCTTCCAAATTAAAATTTACGTAAAAATAGGCTAAACATCGAAAAGATGAGGAAAGGGGCGGCTCAGGGAAGGCAGCGACGCGTATTTTGCTTGTGTTTTTCTTAACTGTTTAAAGACTTTTGGTTAGGATTTTGGTACGCCGCAATACATAACCTCAGTAGGTTAGGGTAAAAGGTACTTTTTGATGTGGTGTACCACCTCAATTTGGCATCTTGAGCGAAAGAATGTCATCGATTTGATGATAAATGGTATGTGTATCAACAAATAAAGACATCAAAGACTTGTACCGGCTAGGAGAAAGATATGATGTGAAAAATGAAAAAAAAAAAGGATAAAAAAAAAAAAGACAAAAATGACAAGATTCCCCGCGCCAGGGATTGAACCCTGACCACGGACCGCAACATGGTGCGGTCAGATGCTCTACCCACTGAGCTGCGGGGAACTTGTCTGCTTTGTGATTGAACTTTAAAGTCATGTTTTAGGTGTCTTTCGCACTACAAAAATCAAGCCTAGAAACATATTCTTTATTTCATAGGTTCAATAGGAATCTCCTTTGCAGTGGTTTGCAAATGATTCAGTTAGTAATAAAAACTCTGTCCACGAATTTTTGCTTTTTCTTTTGAGGATTACCTTTCCTCTTTTATTACAAAAGTAATTATTGCTCTAGTGCACCACCTCAATTTGACGCGTTTAGCAAAAGAATATAATCGATTTGATGATAAATGATATGTGTATCAACAACTACAGACATCAAAGCCTTGTAACGGCTAGGAGAAGGATATGATGTGAAAAATGAAAAAAAATATAAAAAAAAGAAAGACAAAAATGACAAGTTCCCCGCGCCAGGGATTGAACCCTGACCACGGACCGCAACATGGTGCGGTCAGATGCTCTACCCACTGAGCTGCGGGGAACTTGTCGGTATATGAGATTGAACTTTAAAGTCATGTTTGGGTGTCCTTTGCACTGCAAAAATCAAGCTTAGAAACATATGTGCTATTTGATAGGACGAAAAGAATCTCCTTTGTAATGGTTTGCAAATGATTCAGTGAGTAATAAAAACTCTGTCCACTTAGATTTTCTATTTCAATTGAGGATTACCGTTCCTATTTCAGTACATTGGTAATTTTTGTTCTGGTGTACCACCTCAATTTGACATTTTGAGCAAAAGAATGTAATCGATTTGATGATAAATGATATGCGTATCAAAAAAAAAAAAGACGTCAAAGACGTGATATCAGGAAGGAGAAAGATATGATTAGAAAAATAAAAAAAAAGGAAAGTACAAAAATGACAAGTTCCCCGCGCCAGGGATTGAACCCTGACCACGGACCGCAACATGGTGCGGTCAGATGCTCTACCCACTGAGCTGCGGGGAACTTGTCGGTATGTGAGATTGAACTTTAAAGTCATGTTTTAGGTGTCCTACGAAGGAAATTTCCTTGCAATGGTTCGGAATTGTCTCAATTAGTGAGAGGAAGCTCTCTCGACTTAAATTTCCAGCTTCAATTCAGAAGTACGTGTTTACTTTTATTTTTAAGAATTTCGTGCACTAATCCATAACCTCAATTTGACATCGCGACCGAAGGTAAGAAATGAATTCGATCATATTTATACGTGATATGTGTATCAACAAAAAAAGACATCAAAGACTTGTTATCAGCAAGGAAAAAGATGTGATAAGAAAAATGAAAAATAAAACAAAAATGACAACTTATGCCAAAAAAAA